GCAACTTGTTCTTAAAGCATATTCTGGCCACAACTTTGTTTCTTGTGTGGTGTCACTGAAATTTGAAAGTGGTGGGCTGCAGTGGGAGACCCTTGAGTTCTTGTGAAGTATGAAATGTCATGAACAGAAAGAACTTTGTTTATGCAGCCTCTGGTAAAAAACAAACAAAAAAAATAATAGACACATTTCTCTCCTCTTATTGGTATTTATTGGCCTGTAGGTGTCAAAGTTAGGTGATCTAGATGTAAAGGCACTTCAGTGACATGCCAACAAAACAATTCATGTGGACAAGGTTATTAAATTCTCTTAAATACAACTTATTTAATAAATTAGTGGGTCAGTTGGTCGTAAACTTTTTTAAAAAGTCTTAAACGTAACTTCCTGAAACTTGCAGAAACTCTGTTGTAGATATGGGCAAGTATAGATGAGTAGCTATTTTCTCGTGGCCATTATCTGATTTATAAAGATTTACCCACATCAGCCTTACACAATAGCATGTTCTCTTGTCTTTGCTAGTTTGAAGCATGACAAAGATTAATGGGCCACTGTATTAGAAATCTATACCCCAGGGAAACAGGAAGTCATAGATTAATAACTAAATGTTCATTGACACTGATAAAATTAAGTATAAATTTAAAAATGCTTTGGTTACATTTATTCTAGAGCCCATATGTGTGGACCAGTGATTTTAAAATGAGTGTGAGAGTATGTTTCTGCAACCAACAATTAATATATGAAGTAAAAGTGGAGTGTTATGTGCTGACATCAAAAAAAGTTAATGAAAAATATCAAATTAGGATTTCTGTTCAAAACACATCAACCCCTGGTAAATTTTGCCTGCTCAATTTTGTCCTCAAAAAACAATTATTTCCTTCTAACATTTATAAACACGAATGCTCATAAACTTTACAATAAAAAGCAAGATCAAATTGGATCAAACTCATAAAACCTGAAGCTAATTGTGTTTGTGTGTCCATAACTGAACTACACAGCTGTTAAGTCATATTAATCTTGGAGATTATATAATTCGTGTCCACATAATTTTGGAGTTTTACTTAAAATGGGTTGAATTCAATTGAATATTTTGCAACTAAGAAAACATATATTTGGAAAACTGCTTGATGTATACATATGTGTTGCTTTTGGGACTTGGCTTAATGCACTGCAGTCAAACTGTGCAGCGCAACGAATTGTGACTGCAAAATCATTTGTGAGCTGAAAGGAAAACCTTTCTGATGAAAATCTTCAGAAGATGATCATAAAGGGTTATTTTGGTGCTTTTTTCTCAGTAACGAGAGTACAGATGAGTGTAAATACCTGTGTGTTTTGTTAAGTTTAGGTAGAGTGGGTGTTGAGGTACATGTAGGGTTTTTTAAGAAGGCAGTGTTAAAGGAACATTGTGAATTTATGTGTATATCTTTATTTAATGAACATATGCAAATTTGCAAGATGACATGAATCAGGTAATTTTTTTTTTGTATTTTGTTGCCCCTTTTCCAGCTTTTTAAAGATGTTTTCCTGAGAGGGAAAAAATGTTTTTGAGAAACCTTTTAGCTTTTGTGGCTGTCAACAAGAACACAAGCTTAAACTGCGAGTATATAAGTTTGCATCCTGTATTTAAAGTTGCCACATCAAAGGGAGGATCTGAACAGCAGCAGCCCTCCTGCACAAACAACCTCCCACTTTAGAAAAGGAAGATCTTGCAAAAGTACTGGACACACACAAAAACACATCGCAGTGTCGCAAAACTAACTGATCCTGATCAGTTTCCTCTTCCTGTGCTCAGTGAAGATGGTCGACCACGAGAGCAGATGGATAGATAAAAGCAAAAAACATGCAGAAATGGCTCAGAGGGAAAGGTAAAGCAGAAGAAGAACAATCGCTTCCCAACAAGTAGACAGAGAAAAGACAGGGAGAGAGCGAGACGAATGAAATCGGAGAGGAAGAGGGAGAGATGTGTCAACTTCCTGACAAATCAGCTGAACAGAATGAGAAGTGGAGTGTGTTCGTTTTTACTTCACTTACAGGCATTTAAACGCATCAGAGCAAATTTAGGAAGAGGTTTCAGTCATGCTGCTTGTAAAACACCAACATTGGCTGGAAAAGTAAAAACTGCTTATTGTACCGTTTTTTTTCTGTTACACAGCATTTAAATGCCATGTTACAGGTAATCAACTAAACCAGAAGCATGTACAGTTGAAACCAAATATTACATTTAAAACATCAATTTTTCTTGCTGTCTGTCTATAAATCAGACTAAACATTTCCTGTTTTAGGTCAGCTGGGTTTAACTAAATTATTTCTACTTAAATGTCAGAATAAAGAGATATTTGTTTTTGAGACTTTGTTTCCACAATCTTGAAATTCAGAAGTTTACATACATTTCCGCAATACGTAGCAGCTTAAGCTGTGTGACTTGGGTCAAAGAGTTTTGGGTTTTCCTTCCACAAGCCTAGTTTGCTGGAATTGCGGCCCATTCCTCCTGTCAGAGCTGCTATAACTGGGTCACATCTGTATGTCGCCTTACCTCTCAGCTCTTACCAGAAATGTCCTATCAGACTGAGATCATTTCTTTGTGATGGACACTCCAAAACATGGACTTTGTTGTCCTCAACCTACTTACGTAACTAATTTGGCTGTATGCTTAGGGTCATTGTCATGATGCCATCTGTTAGGTGAAGTGCACCAGTCCCTCTAGCAGCAAAACATAATGACAAAATGATGTTGCCCCCTCTGTACTTCAGTTTGGATGGCCATCTCAGGGTTGCAAGCTTCCCACTTTTCCTCCAAATGTAACGATGTTCTTTATGACCAAACACTTTAATTTCAATTTCATAAGACCACAGGCACCACCTGGCAAGCAAGTACCTGATACAGAGTTCACTCCTCCCAGGTGCAGAGTTCACTCCTCCTTAGCATAAAGAGGAGTGAACTCTGCACCTGGCAAGCAAGTACCTGACTCAGAGTTCACTCCTTACACTAAGGAAACGAGAAGGGGAGGAGTGAGTCTAGACTGATTCAACAGTGAACTCTTGTCATCCAGTCTTTTTAGTAGAAAGAGAGAGAGAGACAAGGAAAACACACGTTTGGAAACAGAAATTATCAAGCTTGTTTTAATTTGTGATTCGATTAACTGATTTATTGCTTATTGTGACAGGCCTATACATGTATTCCTCCAATTAACTCCAATGTTGAAAATTAAAACAGAACCTTAAAAACCAACTGGCCTTTCTTAAAGAGATTAAAGGCATACCAAAACAGTGTATGCAAACTTCTGAGTTTAAAGATAATAATAAAAGATTCTCTTTAATATACTGGCAAATAGAAATAATTTTGGTAAGTTTTACTGACCTAAAACAGAAAAAGTCTGGTTTCATCTCAGAGAGAGAAAAAATGGTTCTGGGTTTTTTTTTTGCAACTTATATAGATATCTGGCTTCAACCGTATTTTACAAACAGAAAACAAAGGAGTTGCATGTTATTTTACATAAATAATTGATTTGTTTTTAAATATTAACAAAGACGATTAGTTTTTTTTTCCCATATAGGGATGACAAGCAGCCCCTCTGGAATACAAGCCTCCATATCTGCTGCTGGAGTTCCCCTTTGAGTGACAAACATGAAAGGGGTCACTTTCAGCAGCTACAAGTCCCTTTTGGCTGCTCATGTTAGGGTGTTTATTCTCACTTTCCCTGAAGTGTTGTCTCACTGTACCTATTTATGATAACCGCCCGCTCAGTGTGTACAGAAACAATTGCAGTGTTACTAGAAGAGCTGAATCACTGCCACTCCTTCAGCCTGTGTAGCTGTTTTTTCTCAAGTCTCCGTTTCTCTGAGGCTTTACAAGAAGAAGAAGGAGAAGATGAAGACTCAAGGCCACCTGTCAGTTGGTTAAGGCCTAGGGATGGCGTGGGTTGTGAGGCTGGTGGTCGAGAGCAACGGAGGGCTGTCAAATGTTACAGAAACTCATGACTGAAAAGAGGAAATGGCAGATACATAACTTCCTCTATTGACACAGAACGAGTGGGGGCAAGACTCGAATACAACGGCAGCAGCAGCCGCCTGGATTACGGATAGCATGTAGTCATCCCTGAGATATTACAGTTTCAGTGTGGAGAAACAACCGACACAGGCGCTGAAGTTGTTCATAAATCCGGGCCTCACTTCTTAATAAAAAGGTTTAAATATAGCCGGAAAAGAAATGCTTTGAAAAGTTCCTGCAGTGGCCTCATAAAGAAGGTGCCATCACGTCAAACCACCAGTGAACCATCGTGACCCTCATGCAAACGATGACACATCAGTCTGAGCACCGACGTGTAATTTCTCATTATTTTCGCATGAATACAGTTCAGAGTAATGCTAGAGATGTTCTCAGAATGATAGAAGCAAATATAACACAAGATAATGAAACACCTTCAAACATGGGAGGGGGGGTAAAAAAACTCCCATTCCGCCGCCTCCTCTATCTTCTCTCCCCACCTTCCTCCCACTCACTTGGTTCATATGAAACTGAAAGACCCAGGTCTGAAAAGGGGGAATTTATAAGGGCTCACATGCCCTAATTAAAGCAGTTCCTGGAACCGTGTGCACATATGCATGCATGAATGTGTGTACGCATGTGCCCAGGTTCCTCGCCCGGCAGACCACTTGATATGTCACTTCCCTAAATCCACCGGTTCACGGACACATGGTTGTCACCAGTGCAACAAGGCCACGGTCACATGATTCGTCACGCAAGCTTGCCCACGACGGACCCAAATGCACACATGAACAAAATCAAACACGAACGAAGATCTTAGAAAACATTAGGAATACAGACCCTCCTTTTAGCATTGAACAACTCTGAAACTGAGGCCACGTTTAGAGATTATCATGGCAGGATTGAAAGTGTAACAATATTACCGTATCATAGTTATAAAGTTTTTTGGGCTCAAGGGGGCTTCATTCATCAGTAGCTGGACAGGAAGCAGGGTATAGAAAGAAGGGGAAGACATGCAGTAAATACCCCAGGCCTGGGAATCGAACCCAGGCCAGCTGCGTCGAGGACTGTAGCCTCAGCATATGGTATGTCAGCTTTACCACTGAGCCACGCGACACTCCTGCACCAAAGGCTTTTAATGAAAAATGTTAAATAACATGATTCATTGCTTTTAATATACAAACAGCAACTATTATTCCTACTGCTTCCAAAATATTATATTGCCTATTACATTTATTACAATGTTTCAGATAATGTTTATTTTAATTTCAATACACAGATAATTTCTTAACAGTTTCCAATTGATTACTGCACAGAATAATTTAGCTATTGTGCTTTTAAAAGAGCAACCCATATACAACAAGCTAATATTAGCTGGTTAAATAGTCATTGAAAAAGCTCAGGACAAGTAGATGACATTTTTATAAAAAAGATAATATATATTTTTCCCCAAAAAACACATATACAAACACGGCAAATTCAGAAACAATTTTCAACTTCTAATGTAAAATTTGCTGCATTTGATGCACAAAACTCCATTAAACGCAGACCTTAAATTCCTCCAAATTAATTTAATGTAAATATGTCTCTTTGAAAGTTTAGCACAAAATGGCTGTTTCATTATTATACCTCAAGCATCTACATGGCAAAGATATTTAGGAGGAAATATTTTATATTGTTATTAAAGTTAAAGTAATTTGCATGTTTGTTGTATATTTGTATTTTGATTTGGCTTGAGGGCTACATTAAGCTACAGTTTCTAACAACCCTGATGATCAGGGTTTTAATCAAGTAGAATAAACTCACACAGCTTTACTTGAATGTTATGTTCTCTTCTCTTTCTTGTTTTGAAGAGCGGCTAAGAGACCTGGGCATCTGTGTCACATGAAATCTATACCCCAGGGGAACAAAAAGTCCTGGCTTATTAATCTTATCTAAAAATTAAGAATAATTAAGAAATTAAAGCATAATTTAAAAATGCTTCAGTTCAATTTCTTTTAAAGAAATTGAGTTGTGTTTCCATAGCCCAACAGACATTTTATCTTTTCCTTAAAAAACATAATTAATAACCTTTGTTGGTGCAAGTCATGTACATTTACTTTCATTATAATGACAGATTTAACATTTAAAACATTTTAGATGATCATTTATTAGATGATCCATAACACTGTTTCCCTAGGTTCGTCTAGTACGAGGGATTACTGCTACACTACTAATTATAGGGACTCACGGGTCATCAACATCTCTAATATGCACATTATCCAGCAACAAATACAAATTACAAATATCACCCAGCTCTTTGCCATTATTTCTGAGCCATCTTCAGAGGCCAGCTGAAGTTATAGAGCGACTGCAGCCAGCAAACCACAGAGGAGTTAACTTCCAGGTTGCCTATAAAATATTCAACTGCTTGACCACTTTATTCAGCTCATACTTTGTTTCAAGGACGGGGAAGTCTCCAGGAGGCTCCTCCTTCTTGCCGTTTACCAAAGTTTGACCACCACAAAGTGTTTGTGGTGTAAACGATGTCAGAGAAGCAAAGAATACGCAACGACCTCGATAAAGTCAATATCAGAAGTTAGTCGAGCTCTTGTCTAAGTGCTCCCCCTGATAAATGAGGGCAAATGGATTTTTATTATCTCAGTCTGTTTGCAACCAGTTAGGAGCTGACTGGAGGCATGAAAACCAGTCTGGATGGAAAGGAAAAGAAGGTTAGGGTTGTTTAACTACTTAAATATTTACATTTTTGAATTATTTGATTTTTATCCAATTTATATTTATACTGAACTATGATTAAACCTGTTGGAGTGGTATTGCTATTTGACGTGGTATGACCAAGAAGTAGAAGGAAAACACGAAACCTGACTGGAGACACTGACTGGTTTGTAGATTTTTTGCCACAGTGTGCAAATACTGAAAGTTGCACATTTAATTTTGCTTGCTGATGTGCACCTGCAGCAGTCTTACCACAGTTCCATACAGAAGCATCAAATGATCACTACTGACAAAGAAAAACATTCCTCTAGAGCAGGGGTGCCCAAAGTGTGGCTCATGGGCCCTTTGTGGCCCTTGGAATGATTTTGATGTGTCATCCAACCACAATTCGAGAATGGTTCCGACCTGGCCCCCCAGCATAGACGGCTGATGCAGAGGGACAATTTATAAAAAATTATTTATGGCAGAATTTGCATTGACTAAAAATCTTCTTAAAAAAAGAAAACACACTTAACTTAAGGCACAATACTGTATATCTGCATTTTATTCAGCATGCTTTTTGCTTTCTTGTTATTTTCATTGTAAATGGGACCACAACTTTTCATTAAACCTGACTAAATACTGCAAACGTTTTCGAAAGAAAAGTGACACAGATTCCTCTTCTTGCTGCTGATGGACTAAAAACAATTTTTCAAACCAAGAAAATAAAAAAATAGAATTGGCTCAAAACATTTTGTGGACCTGGGGCATTTCTTTTAAAAAAGGCAAACATGTTTTGGATCTACACGTTTTTACAGATCCCTCTTCTGCTAAATCAGGATACTTTGACTTTAATTTCATAGTGTATGCTGTTGTGTAGAAAAATTCCAATAAAAGTAGTTTTTCATTTTTAATTCATTTATTTTCTATGGCCTGTGTGGTAAAATGTGAAAACACCACTGTAACATCGTAACTGGACCCAAGGCAGAATATGAAAATTATGTGTCCAAGACTGACCCAATAATTACAGCTGTGGAAGCTCTTCATTTATTAGAAATGGAGATATATTTGTAGGTCACCAGCCTGTATGATAATCTTCAGATGTTGGACAAAAATCTAAACTTATCTTCATAAGTATATTTGTTTTAGTGTGTCAGAACTTTAACGTGTAAAAAACCAAAGTTAAAGTCCAACCTGAAGTGAGTGATTCCCTCCGACATGGAGCTGCACAACACATATCACCATCATCATCATAATATCAATGTATCTACATCACAAAGGTCTGCTTTAATGCAATATGTTGTATATTTGCTATATAACCTCAGGTGCCATATAATAAAACTCTGCTTTCCAGGGATACATTTGGCCATTTGGGATGGACTGGCAGAATCCCTCAGGCTAACATCTGATTTGGATCTTAGTGACCAAGGTGCAAAGGCTCAGGGCGAGTGGTGAGGACACAGGTTAAGAAAAGAAAGAAAGGAGTGTGGGAAATATGGGTATAAACAATATCAGAATCACGTATCCTGATAATCAAATATATCAACATAATGTTTTCCTAATGTTATGTACCCTTACTCCCACATTAAACCCATTATATGCCTAAAATCAATCATTTCTGATCTGGTTCTGTCTTCCAGTTTTATGCTCTTGTATTTACACCACAGGGCAACCTACTGCAGTAACACCTGTCCTGTTTGATCCACCAAAACCAAATAACCAGCCAGAAAGGTAACCAGTTGAAGTAGATTGAGCTTTTGAAGATAGTACTCAGAACCGTGTTTCGTTTATGGGGGCAGCTGTGCGTAGGTGGGGAAGAGCGGAAGGCTGTTGGTTTGATTCTAGCTTCCCCTTCAACATGTCCTTGCCAAAGTGTGCACACACCAGTTCCCAGCTGGAAACCAGTGGGATTTGCGTGCTCAATCAATCCAAGGAAAAAAAAAATTAAATCATTAGTATTAAATAGGAAACTTTATTAAGTTTTCAGTATAGATCTAGGTGACCCAGATGCTAAAGCTCAGGGAGTGTGTTGGGGACAATGTTATGAAAGAGAGCAGTGTAGAAAATGTGGGCGGATCATAACATCAAAACAGCAATATTGAACAATAATATCAGAAACCAGTGGGACTGGCCAATTGTTGTGCCTAATGACCAGTCCAGCCACATCTATCAAGTCATAAACAATGTTTTTCTCTGCATTTTATACATTGCAGCTCTGTAGCAACATGCTTACCATCAGACGGTGATTTAATAAACTACAATTTATTGTCAGTGCAAATAAACAGGTCATTACTGTAGCTATTCCTACATTTATGCATGCAGAAGCCATACTGGATTTTAATGCTGGGTTTGCTAAGGAGCCTTTAACTTTTAAGGTCGGACTTCCAGCCTTAGATGTTCCAGTTGATTTTTTCTTGACTACCAACATGGATATTTTGACCTCCGAGTACAAACAGAAAGCACTTTTTACAGAGACATCATCTAAAACAAGCATTTTACCACAGAAAAGTACATCTGCTTTCAAATTTACAACATAAATATAGACTAAATAGACATTCACGTTGTGTAAATGTCACAAAATAAAAAGGGTTTTAAAAATGGTTTATTTTTGTTTATTCGTTTTTTTGTCTCCACAACTTGCTCATGTGGTTTGCTCGATTGTGATAATTTTGTCAGATGGCCTTGAAGGTCCACTGTGTCCCTCAGCTTTCAACCTTGTGCAGCTCAGAACCTCATGAATGTGCAGACAGAGCATATGTGATGATAAACCTTCTAATTACAAGAAGCATGCTTGTTTTGAGGAGACACTCAGTGAGAGAATTCAATAATATTCATATTGGGACAGTTTATTATTCAGAGACTACATGAACAGTACAACTGACAGCTGTGTATTATTGCCACAGAACTGTAGCGTAAAACTGTAGATGAATGAATATCACAATTTATCCCATGCAACTCAACTTAAACACTCAAAATTACAGTAATTATGCTGAACATTTTTTTATTAAACATCTTGCAAGTAGAAACAGATTCTAAGGAAGAAAAAGAAAAAAAGTGAAATGATTGTCTATTTTTTTAAGAAGTCCCACATCAGAGGTGGAGGCAGGTTGCTTGGAATTTGGAAATTTCAAATTTTTGAGTTTGTGTCATAGGGCCTTTTTTCTTTCCCCATATAAGTAAAAATAAAATACATCCTCACTTAGGCTATTAGGTCCCACCTAATGTAGCCTTTTATCTTTATCTAAAAGAGAGCTGATGGATATAAAAGTGAATATAAGCTATAGTGAAGTTTGGTGTCTGTAGCATATTAGACATCCATAAATTGTATCTTATAGGAAAGACAAAATGTTTTGCAAAAACTGCCAGAAAGGCAGCATTTAAATCCGTTAAAAGATTCTTACCTGCAGTCCATAAACCCAGAAG